TGACATAAGACCCAACTGAGGACTTTGAAAAAACCTTATTGATGATAGCTGCCTAGTTCTGTATTACCTTACTGAGGAAAATTTATATTTTCCCAACTATGCTCTTTTTTGCACCAAAATCAATCAATTCTAGGCATTATAATTTGCTCCTTGGCATTTATTTTAATCTTTGCATTTTAATGTTAACTTGCATTATATTGTGGGTTTTTTTAATCTGTTTTTTTTTTTTTTCAATTTAGCCTGCCATGAAACTTGGCTTCAGATGATGTAACATTTCCAGATATATTCTTGTGATAAAAGCAGTCATCAGGAACTAAGTTTTTTCTAGCTTCTTGAACAGGAGTTTACCTTGAAGGATTTTTAAATAAAACAAAGAAAAGAATGGCTCTGATTCTCTTTGTATTACTTAAACTCTCTGCTGGAGATCCATCCACTATTTCTCATTTTATTGACAATGTACTCCCCCAATATTTAAAAACACATTTGTATTCAGAGCACTTACATCAGCTTTTATTCTGTCAGGTGCAACAAACTTCCACGGAATTCCCCTAAAAAATGACAGAAAGAAATAATATTGCTAGTTCAGTGCTAATCTTCTAACAACTCTTATAATACTAACAAATAGGATGCCTCAGCAGTATAGTATTGTATGTTTTTTCTTTTATGTACACTGAGAGCATTTGCACCAAGACAAATTCCTTGTGTGTCCAATCATACTTGTCCAATAAAGAATTCTATTCTATTCTATTCTATTCTATTCTATTCTATTCTATTCTATTCTATTCTATTCTATTCTATTCTATTCTATTCTATTCTTATGTGTTGTAGACATTCAAAATTGGTAATATAACACCATGAAGTCTCTTCTCCCAAAAATAGCACATTTTCCACATTTAAATTAATTTTTAAATGGAAAAATAACTGGAACATCATAAGACCCATCATAAGGTAAAACCACAAAATGTCTTGTGTGAAAGAACCTTAAATTCTTACAAGACCTTTTGTGAGAACATCAATATTTTGCATGATATCTGTTGTATTAGTCTAGACGGACACACCAGGCAGACACAGGAGCTGAAGAATAACGTTTCTTTATTTGAAGTAGTAACAGATTAACGTGGCTGCCCAGCTGGGCTGGCAGCCGGCTGGCTGGAGCCGGAGCCCCAACTCCCCCAGCTGATGCCGTTTGACAGCTCCTTATATAGTCTGCTGTCAAACGGCACCAACCAATGGGAACAGTAAGATGGTCCCGCTCAAAATGCGGACCAGGTTGAAGACTTAGCTAGTCAGGGACACAACACCATCTACCACAGTTTTGACATTCTCATCCAAGACCTCACAAGATCTCAAAGACAACGTGGTGTTTTCTAATGAGTTCTCAAGCACTTTCAGTACAAGTGGACCATTATTTGTAATCAGTTGAGGATATCCAGTGCTGAAAAGGTTTTCTGGCTTTTTATTCTCTTTTTCTGGAAGATGTCCAACTGATGGATTTGAGAGGCATTACAGATGAAAGCTGTTAGGTTGATAATATTCAACTTCTACTTAAAAATGCATCTGTATCTATACGATCAAAAAGACCCCTCCCTTCAAAATATGTTTCTTTTATATCTCCAGAGTTTGTAGCAGTCCCTTCTCTTCACTTATAAACCTTAAGGATTCTCCTCATTTTGGTCCTCAGTGGGACCCAATTTGTGCCCACGAGATGCCAGTGTGTCTACATATACATCTCTGGGTGATGTCTTATTTTGAAGTTCTTTGTGGTGCTAAGTGTAAAAATAAATATAAGCCTTTATTCCAGGGTCCCCTTTTCATAAGCAAACCCTCACTTTATCACAGTATCTATTACATGACATTTAAATGATCTTCTGACTGGAATTCTTCATTGGAAAATGTATATCATGGCAGAACCCAGGGCCAGATTTGGCTATCAAAATGCAAACCCAATCTAACCTTAATCAAAACTTTAACTTATGTGAATGAAGCTTACTTTTCACATGACCCGATGTAGCATGCTTTGTGAACATAGCCTTTTTCATCCAGTTGCTTCCTTGTTTCCAATACTTTTAGGCCATCTCAAACAAACAAACAAACAACCCTTGGATAGTACATCTAAAAAAAGATTAAAAGATCATGAAATATAATATTAGTAATAAAAAATAGCAATAATATATTCAGATGGCCATCTACAATAGTACTTCATATAAAGACTTGTTAAAATTAAACAATCTTAGGGGTCTTCTGAAATGCAAAGTGGGTTAGGGCTGGGTATACTTTCAGAGGCAATATGTTCACAGAAAGTTACACCAAAGAAGCCTAACTTCCATTCCAGACAGAGATGTATTCGTCAGATTCTGACCAGATCTGGTAGCGGAAATTTTGAGTCATTCAGAAAACCAGCAAATACCACTTCTGACTGACCCTGACCCCATCTATTCTCTGCCTCCCGAGTCCCAGCTGATCGGCTGGGACTTCTTTTGTTGCCCTGCATAGGAGAACGGAGCTGGAAAGCAGGTTAGTGGGGTGGGGAGGGAATGGAGATTTTACAGTATCCTTGCCCTGCCATGCCCATCAAGCCACACCACGCCCAGCAAACAGAGCCAGTATTAAAAATTTGAATCCCACCATTGATTCCAGACTACTCTAATATCTCAAAGAGGCTGGATTCTTGGTAGAAGTTCTCTTGGTATTCATAGTACATGGCAGAAACATGCTCAACAAGGCTGTCTAGAAATATCCCTGTTTCTATCTAAATTCCAAGCACTGTTGGATGAGTGACTTCAAGAGGAAGGAAGTTCAAGGAAATTACAGGTGTATATACTTCTTTCTGTCATTCATTCATCTACCATCCATCTCACATATGCCTGCTAGAGTGTTTCTCATCTACAATCATCTCTAAGCACAGTTAATTGATGTTTCAACAACACTGGTATTACTGGGAAGGCCTTTGATTCATCTAACAGAAGCAAGGTTGTTTTAGGTCCCTTTGGAAAGAAAAACATTTAATAGCACCTTACCACATCTATTCCAACTTACAGCACCAGGTATAAATTATTCAGGGATGCATATCTTAAAATTAGCTACATGTTCATGACTTGAACTGGGATTCAAATAAAGAAGACAATTAATATCACATAATTTCTGTTTTCCATAACAAAGCAGTTATCAAAAAAGAGGTGACTTGCTTTTTCCTTGGGGACCTAAAATATTTGATTGATAAATGAAAAGCATTATTGGCCAATTCAATTGCTTAATTTTGAGTGGATGTTTTTTAGAATTAAAATGAGAGAATAATTAAGCTCAGGAACTATGATTTGATAACAATTTAAATGGAAATTACCTTCATTTTCTAATGACATTAAAATTGAGTTTCTCAAGATTAGCTACACAATTTAGGTCATGATACGCAGCTTCTACGAGCTAAAATGAACAATCCCATATTCCATTTGCTTTGAAAGTTTTAATTTCCTGTGGGGAAAAAGTTTATTTTTTTCTTGCCTCTTTCTCAAGAAGTTTAGAATTTCCTTGAATTGGATTTTGACTTTCATTTATTTACTTACTTATTTACGTTATTCTTTATGCTGTTTGGCTTGAAATCTGAATCTCAGGATACCAAGAAAGTTGCAGACTCCTTGGAAGGGATTGTAAAACACATGACAAATATCTAATCTCTTAGATAAAATTGCATAAGTCTACCCATAATGCAATGTTTGTCTTCCTATTAAGCAGTAAAATAAATTATATATTCTCAAATTATATGAGAAATAGTGATATTGGGACTCCCTTCTGAAAGGAATGAAATCGATTTCAGTGGGCGAGAGTGTTTTGTCAGACAGAAATCCAATCACAGCACATTGTTTAAAGTACACTGGCAACCATTCAATACAGGCTTCCATTTTGCAAACAATAGCCACACAACCCTTTTCTCACAGCAACTTTCTGCCAACTGAAGTGAAACAATAAATAGAACACATCAGAACTTTTGACATGTCAGTACTGCCATCAGTTGATGAGTTATAACTCTGGAGTTACTACTTTTTATTTACCCTTTGTATGTATGTATTTGTTTGTGTGTGTGCATGTTGCAATTTCAAAATATACATTTGTGTAGGTGTATACTCAGACAATCACATATACATGAGCACAGATGCATATGTACAATGAACAAAGCCAAAAGAAAGCAAATAAACAGAACTAAGGAATCAGGAGCATGAAATTTGATATAAAAAGTAATATTCCATTGAAGTACAAATGTATTTTATAGAGTTTTTATTTTAATCTGCTGTAATATAGATGCATATCTAAAAGGAGACCTAAACAAATATAACTAGGGAGACAGAATAAAAGCAAATGAGCAAGGACTGTGAAGACTGGCTCTGAACAGTACCTGCATATTAAAGGTACAAAATGGGAGAAGAGACGGGAAAAAAAAAAACCTTTAAGGTTATTCATCATCTCTGGTAGCAGAAAGCGACAAGAGTGCAAATGTGAAATAAACTGCCAAACAACCCACACAAAATGTCAATATCATGCCATTCATCTACTCTGACAGGAGAAAAAGTTGCCCTTTGTATATTTCTTTCTTTTTTTGCCATGGGGCTGTTATTCCTTAGATGGAGAAAGTATGATGGAACTGCAGCATGATGGGACAAGTATTGTCAGATCATTTTGTCTCTCAGAAATGCTACCAACACTTCATTGTGAGGGATATCCTTTCTTGTGTTCTGCTCTGGGATTGCACTTTATCACTCCATAATGCCTCTCTTATCATTTTTTTTTTTTTTTGTGTGAATTAGGGTCTTTATTTCCAGAAAAATATCACCATCCACATCTTCTAAGCAAAGTCAAAAAGGTCAACCAGAAGGTTCCTATTGGGTTAACACTAAGTTTGCCTGAAGTTGATTAATGTAAGCAACTTAGCCTATTGAGATGTAAAATGAAGCAGTTTGTATACACTCTTTCTTACCCATAGGCAATCATTTTCAAAGTCATTTCTGGCATCTAGTACAATATAGAAATGGAAAAAGTTGGAGCCAACATTTTTTCATTTTGAAATGCCTCCTTTAAAGTCAGAAGATACATATTTAATGGTTCACCTGAAGGTAGAAGCTTCTATTTTCTTTGGAGACAGTAACTAATTCACAGTGACATTTCAGATTTAAGGTCCAAGAGGCATCAGTATGAAAATGGAGATGTCTAAGCTGTCTAGATGTATCTATAAATTTTATTTATTTCTAATTTGGTCCAAAATTTCAGAATATGAGAGAGAGAGTGTGTGGGAGAGGTGGAGAGTGGGAGACCAGGAGGGAGGGAGGGAGGGAGGGAGGGAGGGAGGGAGAGAGAGAGAGAGAGAGAGAGAGGGAGAGAGAGAGAGGGAGAGAGAGAGAGAGAGGACACTTTGACATATTTGGGGTTGATTTACTAAACATTCTCACAAGTTATAGCCTCAGTTTTGCTGCTCCTGATTAAACATTGATTCTGATTAAAATGTAAAACATAATTTTCAGATGAAAACTATTCTAAAAGTGCATAATGAAAAATAATTTATTTTGTGTGCATGGCTAATCCACTGCTTGCCATTTCTGGAGAGGTCCTTCTACCTAAGATATCTTAAATGATAGTGAGTAATGTCAGGGTCTTTCCATCAGTCCCTGCTTCTTGCTCATCACTGGGCCTTCCAGGTAATGGTGGACCTTGCTGTGAAAAAGGAAACAAATTTAGATTTACAAAGGTTGGTTGTTTTACCATCCTGTAACAGAACTGATCACAACTTATGAAGAATGATGAAGGATGGACTTCATTATCTCTTCAACAAAAGTTCAGTTCATATGTGTCAATTATCCTGAGTAGTCTTTGGTCTAATGGATAAATCTTCTGTGGCAACCTTTGTTAAGAACCTATAGAAAATCTGTTTCCAAGTACTAATAGGACAAAATAAATTACTCTTCACAAATTCAGGCCAAAATCGACTGCAGGCTAATAGTGTAAATATTGCTTCCCCGTGTTCCAGTATTGATCTCATAATATTTTCACTGACATTTTCTATTCTGTTCTTACAGAAACTCTCCATTCTTTCCCCCTGTCTTCCTTATTGACACATGAGAGGAGATAAGCAAAGACTTTTTTTTTAAAAAAAAGATGGTTCTTTCAGTGACTCATATGTCCTATTCACACACAAAAGCCCTCAATAATACTCTTAATCTATCCACCCACTAAGCCAGTCAAATCTTCTAGTAGCTGCATTCAAACTTGTTAAGGTGTGACAGCACAAAGTCATACAGTCTGGGTCGAAAGGTGAATCCACAGTCCTCCAGATTTTCTATAAAGATGTGTCTGATATACCATGAGCCTCTGCACAAAGAGAGAAATAGCAAGAGTTTATGACTTCATTAGCCTCTTCTTTATTAGTTAGGAAAGCAACAGTAGGCATGGGTTGACCACTACAGTTGGTATTTAGCAAGTACATTCTGTATCTCCTTGTCTGTGCAGCTTGTTTTTTCAGCCAACCCTTCTTTCTACTTCTTTTTCTTGGAGAAATAAATAGACAAAACATCTGACCTCTTTGTGTGTGTCTGTCTCCGTGTCCTGAACAATAGTTCATTTGACTCTTTATAAGGGTGAGTCTATTTGGAACTAAAGCTAACTCCCTGAGGATGAAGATTATTTACTGGGTCAAATGACCCCTTTTTAGTTGTTCTCACTATATATTAACCCTTTAATGAACTATTTGAGTGTGTTTTTGTAAATAGAAACTTGGAATGCTTCCTTTACTGAATCCTTTTTTTCCCAAGTGGATGGTAGTAACTAAAACAGACATTCTTATTTGAAGACTTTATAAAAAGTCAGATGGCTAAACCTTTCAACCACAAAAACTACTTTTAGAAATAACTGGAAGAATCAGGCCTATATCCAGATTCCCATTCTATCATCACAGTTTACAAACTGTTGTTTGGTGTTAATTAAAAATAGGGATATATTTGAAACTTTTAATATGTTGCATTAGAAAAAATTGCTGGATATTTTTCCTCCTTTTTAAGTATCATTTGGAATTTGATTGCAAAATTCAAAAGGAAGGCAGGGAACACAGAGTGGAAATAAAATTTGTT